TCGCCCTGCCGCTTGCCCGGCGGCTTCCGGGGCTGCGCCTCCGCCTTGGGCGGGCCCTCGCCAGCCTTGGCCCCCTCGGCGCTGGGCGGGGCGCTCCCCTTGGACTTGCCCGGCGGCGTCCCCTGTGCCTCCACCTTCTCGAGGCCTCCCTGCTGAGCTGCCTCCTCCTCATTCTCGCTCACCAGCCCGTCATCTGCTGGAACAACGAGAGAATCCAGTGACTCCCCGGCTCTGGGAAAGGAAACTTGGGAGAAGGGAACGGGAGAGGGTCTGTCACATCGTCAGCCACCCATCCACGCGACCTCGGCCAGCCTGCTCCCGCTACCCCGCCTCCTCCTCTCCTTTCTACTCCACCTCCCGCTCGCAGCCACCGCTTCCCCACTCCTCGCCACCCACAGAGGCCCCGGCAGCAATTTTCAGAAACAGGGGCCAGATTCTCCCAGCTCTAATTATACTGCGAAGCGTCCCACTCAATGCATGACCCGTGTGGCCGGCTAAATCCGAGGCTATGTCTAGACTGTAGGTTTCTTTTGGAAGAAGATTTTCCGGAAGAGATCTTCCAGAAAAGCTTATTTCGAAAGAGAGCGTCCACACAGCACAAGCGCAACGAAAAAGTGATCTGCTTTTTTGGAAGATAGCGTCCACACTGATTGGAGGCTCTCTCGCATTTAAGTTGTGATTAGTCTCGACAGAGTGGCCACCAGGGCACCTGTGTTACTTCCTGGAGGCCTCTTCTTTTGAAAGGAAACCCTCTTCCCCATCCACGCACGCCTTTTTCCGAAAAAACTTTTTTGAAAAAAGGCTTCTTCCTTGTAGAATGAGGTTTATCACTGTCAGAAAAAACCCTTCCATTCTTTCAACTTTCTGCTGAAAGAACTCCATGGCAGTGTGGACACACATATTCTTTTTCCGGAAAAATGGCTGTTTTCCCGGAAAAATGCTGCAGTCTAGATGCACCCTGAGAGTCAGAGATTCTCACGCCGGCAGATCACAGCCTGGATAAATTCCGAGGGCAGACCGTTGAGAAGAGCACCCAGCCTCGATTTAAAAACGGTCAGTGACGGGAGAACCCACCGCAACCCTTGGTAAATTGTTCCCATCGTCAATTTCGCTGTTAAAAACGTACTCCCGATTTCCAGCCTGAATTTGCCTAGTTTCATCAACACGGATCGTGTTCCACCTGTCTCTGCTCGTCTGAAGACTCATCATTAAATAAATTCATGGAGGTTAGGTCCATAAAAGGCTATTAGCCAGGGGATAAAATGGTGTCCTTGGCCTCTGTTTGTCAGAGGCTGGAGAGGGATGGCAGGAGACAAATCGCTTGATCGGGCACGTGGTGCTGGCCACTGTCGGTAGACAGGATACTGGGCTAGATGGACCTTTGGTCTGACCCAGTACGGCCGTTCTTATGTTTGTACGTCCTGTCTGCCCACAGTGGCCAATGACAGGTGCCCCAGAGGGAGGGAACAGAACAGGGATCGAGTAATCCCACCCCCAGCCTCTGACAGAGGCTTGGGACACCATTCCTACCCATCCTGGCTAACAGCCATTGGGATTGTCCTGCTTTGGGCAGGGGGCTGGACTTGATGACCTTCTGAGGTCTCGTCCAGCTCTATGATTCTATGGACCTGTCCTCCATTAATTTATCTAGTTCTTTTTCGAATGCTGTTAAAATCCTGGTCTGCCCCACATCCTGTGGCAAGCAGTTCCACAGGTTGACTGTGTGAAGAAAAACTTCCTTTGGTTTGTTTTCAACTTGCCACCTATTCATTTTATTTAGTGACTCCTCATTCTTACATTATGGGAACAAGTGAATCATTTTTCCTTATTCACTTTCTCCATACCACTCATGATTTTATATAACACTAGTATATCCACACAGAGGTATAGGAATTTGGGTATAGAGTAGGAACTTAGCAAGCCATCCCTTAACCTTCGCTGTGTCAAGCTAGACGGCACCGCTTGAGCCTTTAAGGCAGGTTTTCTAACCCTTTGATGGTTCTTGTAGCCCCTCTCTGACCCCTCTCCAATTTCTCCCCTCCTTCTGCAAGTGCAGGCCCCAGAACTGGAGGTAGCAGTCCAGCAGTGGTCCCAACACAAAGTCGCACATTTGCTCATGTTCAGCTGATTAGCCACCAGGACCCACCAAGTCCTCCCAGTGCAGAGTCCCCCATCCGGTACACATGGGCTGCTGTTTTTGTTCCTAGACGGCTACGTTTCCGTTTAGTTGTATCATCACACGCATTGTTGTCGGCTAAATAGACGTGACAGCCAGGTGGGTCTAGTCTGACCTCTTGTAAAATGCTAGAGAGTTCCACCCAATTAATTGGGTTGCCAGATGGTTTCGACAAAAATACCGGACTCGCCTGACATTACATCACAATCTACATTACATCTTATTGAGAAAATACCAGACATCTATATTTTCTCAATTTGCTTCCCGAACAGAAAGCTCAAATACTGGACTGTCCAGTTCAAAACCAGACACCTGGCAACCCTACCAATTCACCCTGTACTACATCCCCTAGCGACTTCACTGGGCTCTCTAACCGAGTAAGATGCCAGTCATGTAAGCGTAGCAGAATCTAGCCCTAAATTCCTCCCCATTTCCCACTTCCTGCCTGTTGGGGGGGTGAAACGCTGGAATAAATTGCCTAGGGAGGTTATGGAATCTCCATCTCTGGAGATATTTAAGAGCAGGTTGGACAAACATCTATACGGGATGATCGAGATCAGTGTTTCTTAAACTTTTTAAGACTGAGGATCACCAAACAATAATTTTCTGTTATGAGGAACACCAAGGATTTTTGGTGAAGAAAAAAAAAAAGTGGTCTGTCCCTTTAAGGGTGGCCGTTTTGAATTCTGTTGTTCTCCATGGCACACCTCCGACTGCCAGTGTGCCACGGAACACAGTTTAAGAAACACTGATCTAGATGGTGCCTGGTCCTACCGTGAAGGCAGGGGACTGGACTCGATGCCCTCTCAGGCCATGTTTACACTGCACAGTTATTTCGGAATAAGCTATTCCGGAATAGTTATTCCAAAATAGCATATTTCGAAATAGCATGTCTACAATGCAGGGAAGCCTCCAAATGAGTCCAAGGCCCGCTTCCCTAATGTAGATGAACTATCTCGATTTAGAGCCCCAGGAGGAATAACTTAGAATGGCCCTGGGGAAGGGCTATTTCGAAATAGCAGAAATGGAGCGTCTTACGCAGACCTTATTTCGAAATAGCTATTTCAGAAGAGGCATTATTCTTCGTCAAATGAAGTCCTATACCGGCCACCTCAACCCCCCATGACAGGCATTTAATGCTAGGCTGAGCAGGGCCCGCATGGTGGTTGAGGGTGCCTTCGGCCACATGAAGGTGCGTTTTTGATGCCTCCTCACCCGCCTGGACCTCGGGGAGCACAACATACCACATGCGGTGGCTGCGTGTTGTGTCCTGCACAACGTGTGCGAGAGGAAGGGGGGAGGCCAGGGTTGGGGGTGAAGGCAGACTGGTTAGGCAGGGCCTACGAGTAGCTGCACACGGCTGCCATCCGGCAGGCCCATCAGGGGACTGTGTGCATCCTGGAGGCCCTGAGGGACAGCTGCTCAGGTCTGCCCTGTTCCCTGCTCTGCCCCAGTAGGGGCTTCTGCTTTACCCCTCACTGCCGTCCCTCCACTTACCCGTCCCTTCCCCCAGTTCCGGCTGAAAAAATAAAGACACTGTTGTTTCTGAAAAACTCAGCAGTGTGTATTTTACATAACTGGGGGGTTGGAGAGACTGGGGAAAGAACCTGGGAGCGGGGAGGGGAGAGCTTGTCGGGTAGACGCTCACTATGTTATTTCGGAATCATGTTGGTTATTCCAAAATAACACTGCTGTGTAGACAGACCCAAATTGTCCAGAGAGTTTTCTACCGAGGCATAAGACCCGTGCTTTTTTTGTGATGGTACTGGCACCTCTAGACGCAGTACCGGCACCTCCAATCAGAGCTTACCTAGAAAGAACGGAGCGTACCAGCACTTATGTACGCAAATGTCCAATAGTCGACTGGGCCGCGTGTCTTATTTCGGAATCATGTTGGTTATTCCAAACAAATTGCCCCAAGGCCGCGTGTCTTAAAGGGGCTGCGTCTTTTAAAAGGGCAATGCTTGCCCCACCCTGGCTTTTTTTTTTCTCAACAACTTTTCCTTTAGAGTACCAGCACCGTTTTTGTTTTTTTTTTTACAGAAAAAGCACTGCATAAGGCCACTCAATTCCAGCAGGACTGTTTAAGTCCAGAAGTGACAGAACGGGGCTAAAATAAGACGCATTTCTCAGAAGTCGGAGTCTCTCCCTCGCTACGTTTGCAACCAGCTTGTACTGGAAGTAGGAAATTCCACCGGGAAAGGTGAAAATGAACTGGGGAACTTTTCTGAAACGGGGTCGGATAAGGAACAGCTGCCAATCTGATGAAATTCTCCCTTTTCCCATTTTCTGGCTAGCTCGGGGGAGCACTGGGCCCAAGCGAAGCCTAGCCACGTCCCAAAAGGTTCCAAATGAGCCATTTTTAATTGTTGGGTTTTTTTCCCCCATTCAGAACCGAGGAGATATTTCAGGAATGTCCTGCGTGCCG